TTGTTTAAACAAGTGGTTACCAACCATAATTGATTTTGTTCCTCAGAGGACATTGGGTTGTCAAAACTGGGAGGTAAGTGCTATTGGAGAAAAGCCAGTTATACTATAAAATATCCTCCAATGCACAGAAAAATCCCACAATCTCTGTGCTAAAATATCAGTGGTGTTAAGGTTGAGAAATCCTGCTACAAATGGTCATGATCCTGTCCACACACTTGTGCAGTGGATCTTATTCTCTAGTTTTTGAGCACATAGCTCAGCAATTCTCCCTCCTTCTTTGTAGTCAGTAATTCCCTTTTTCCCCTGAGAAAGAATGCCCTCTTGGGCCCCATTTCCCCTTCCACTGCTTCCTATTTTTCTGTTCCACTTCACAGCAAGAGTTTTCTTCCCCAGAAATTCCATCTGTATCAAAACTGTTCTTACCGTGGTCACTGATGACTTGGTCATAGCTAAGTCTAATTATGCATTCTGCTTTATCTTATAGAATGTTAGTGGCATTTGACACTACTTTGAAATATTTTCTTTACCTGGCTTTAGAACATATTCTCTGCTTCCTAGCTGACCACCCTATGTCCTTTGATGGTTTTTTGCCATACTCTGCTGACTTTGTAGAGTGCAGTCCTCAGACTGCTCTGTTTTCACAGGTATTGCACTGATTTCATCCAGTCTTGTGCATTAAAGCCATTTTTGATGTGGGTGATTCCTAGTTTTATAGTTTCAGTAAGAAATTCTCTTCTAAATATATCTAGTTGCCCATTAGCATCTTGGGTACTCAATGTGCATTTCAAATTTAACATATCCCAAATTAAATATCTCTTTGCCAGTTTATTCCTGCAGTCTTACCAATTTGACCTCTTCTCAAATCCATGCTTTCTCTGTCTCAGCAGCACTGTCTCTTTTGTTGTTCATTAGGCACTACAGGTATGCTGACCCTTAAGACCTTCACACTTTCCTGGAAATCTTCGCTCAGATGAAGGGTCACTCCATCATAGTCTTCCAAGTCTGCTCAGCTCAGTTCCCCACCACCACCACCAAGTGAAGCCTTCCCAACAACCCTCCTTAAAATTGCTTTCCTTCAGCACTTCCTAAGCCCTTCTCTGTTTTACTTTTTTTTCATTCTATACAATCATCTTTTTCTTTTTTTGGACTAGGGATTAAACCCAGGAGTACTTTACCACTGAGCTACATCCCTAGCCCTTTTGTATTTTGAGGCAGGCCCTTACTAAGTTGCTGAGGTTGAGACTGGCCTTAAATTTGTGATTCTTCTGCCTGTGCCTCCTGAGTCTCTGGGATTACAGGTATGGATTACACTGTTTTGGGCTCTTTTTTTTTTTTTTTTTTAAAATAGGGATTGAACCCTGTGGTGCTCTACCACTAAGTTACATTCCCCAGTCTTTTTTGTATTTATATTGAGACACAGTATCATTAAATTGCCCAGGATGACCTTGAACTTGAAATTCACCTACCTCAGCCTCTCAAGTCACTGGAATTGCAGGCATGGGCTAACATGCCCACTTTAATCATTTTTTTTGTGTGAGTGTCCCCTACTGGGAATGTGGTGGAATATTTTAATCTTGTTTTATTTATTGCTCTATCTTCCAACTCTTAGAATATGGTCTATCAGATATATGCCATTCATTTTGCTGAATGAATAAGTTGGAAAAGTAAACCAAAGGGTTGATCAGATGACTACAAAAGAAAGACAAAAAGATTGAGGGCTGGGGATTTAGCTCACTGTCAAAGTGCTTGCCCAGCATGTGTGAGGCCCCAGTATTGCAAACGATAAAAAGAATTAGAATCATATGAGGTTGGAGAAGGTAAATTTCTATGTCTGTATAGAAAGTGGCTGCACTTTTTTTTTATTTACAAGAAATTAGGCAGTTGGTTGAAAATGTACTGAGAGAAATTTAAAATCAGAAACTTTGGAGTGGAAAATAGATACAAATAGAAGTTAAGTTCTTGAATGTCTTTATGAACAGGAGTGATCTCTGTCTCTTTAGGCTTGGGAAGTTAATTTTATAAATGAGCAGCAACTGTATTACTTCACATTAGCCTCAGGTATTAATTTCCAAGTTTTATTAATTTTATGAGGTGGAATGTTGAGAGCCACAGCCGAAGGGGCCCCAGCAAACTTCCAGCTGCCAGCAAACTTCCAGCT